TGCCAAAAATGACATGAGTGGAGTCAACTCTGGAAATCAAATCTGCATGGCTGGCTGAACGTGATTGCGAGTCTCCACCTCTTTCTCATCAATCCTTTTGTTCACCCCCGACTCCTAGTCTTGGGGCTCATACAGAGGACTGGCCCCCCTTCCCCTCCCTCAGGAGTGGGCTTCCTTCGTTCTGCTCGGTCGACCACTGGAACCGTCGACCTGGTCAGGACGGTATCACACGACCCCGCAAGGCACGACGCCAGCGCATGAAGGACCGCGGTGGACCGCGGAGTGGAAGAATTGGAGAAGTACGGTCTTCCACCTGTGAGGTCGATGCACTGGTGTTCGTAGCTTCTTGCTACGTTCGTAGCTGAAAATGCACTTATAGTTGCTACCTGGACCCGACTGACCCAGTATCTTAGAAAATGGGACATGACCCCATAAAAGCAGGTAGGACTGTACCCATTTTCCAAGGTACGAACTGAGACTCCAGGTATATAGTATAGCGATGCACTTGTTACTATAAGTCGCGACCGAGTTATGAAGTATCCAAACATATGGTCGACCCAGGATCTTCCAAGAGGTGTCTATAAATAGCCTCTTAGAGGTTAAGAGGTGGCCAAAAACCACCTGTTGGAAGGTCCTGGCAGAGGTCATGTGGTGTGTCCCATGGACCTAGTGGTGACCCACCGAAGGCGCCGAAGGTCTCCGAAACGGCTCCGGCCTCCGACGCGGTGTCCTGGACGTCGTCCGCGGGGTGTCGTCGTCCGCGTCGTCCGCGTGTTCGGCCAACAAACGCTGAGAACCCTCCGCTGTTGGTTTCCGGGTAGGGGGGTTTGTGTCATCGTGGCCGTGTTCGAGAACGTCGCCCACGAGGTTCGAGGCGAACATGATGGAAAAGCACGGTTTCAGGTGGTGACCTACATGATATAGGTGGGTGAACTTCTGAAACAATCGTTCACTGGATTTGGATGCCCGGTTCGTTCCACACAGTCGGTCGACCTCGACCTCTGATCCCACGGTCGGGGCTCGTTCAGGAATGCATTTTGCAATGCTTTCTGAGCACGGACTTCGACCAGATGCAGGAGGCGTTGCAAAAGGAAGCGCGACGACACCCCTATGCCGCGTGGCAGCAGGAGTCGAGTGGGATCTGGCCTGGGAGGGTTTACTGTGTCCACAGGAAGCGAATCAGTTGGTCGAGAAGGGCCATGTTGAGCTCTGATCCTCATGTTCTCTGGGAGAGATCGCTGGCAGATGCTGTTGGTAGAGCCTGGTAGAAGATGGTGTAGAAGACTGGTGGAGCTGCCAGGGCTTCCACAAGTCTGGTAGAGCTGCCGAGCCTGGTACTTCCACTTGGCAGAAGACTTGTGGAGCAACCACAATATCTGGAAGTGGAAGTGATTAGACTTGCGGTGGGTGCCAGATGGTGCCAGGGGGGTCAGTCTCCGAAGCTGAGGAGATGGGACAGGAGCCCTAGGGATTGTTCAGAGATGTTGACATGCTGCGACAAGCTGACATCTTGTCATGTTGAATCATGTTGACGTGCTGTCCATTTAGCGCACCACTTTTTTGGTCTCCCGGCCGGTCCGTAGACACGCGGTTCCAGCTTGCTCCGCTGATGTGCGACATGGTTTCACGTTGACATGCTGTCACGTTGACACGATGTTGTCACGCTGACGATGCGGACGTCGTGTCATGCTTTCGTGCCTCAGCAGTTGCGGCAGGTTACCAGGTGCGTTTGCATGTTGTGGCAGGTTACCGTGCTTGCACATACGTAGGCACTGTGCGCCGCCGCGTTGACCAGGGGCACATGTTTCAATGCATTGCCTGCAAAAGGCACTCCACGACTACTGGTGAACTTGCGATGTTGCCATGGCCGCGCTCGTTCAGGTGTTGTGGCCTTTTTTCGACTCACTAGCTCAAAGCGACTGTTTGGGTTACCGTCCGTCCGTCGGTTGTTTTTCCGACCGGGATGTCGATGGCACACAAATGTTCCTACATTTCTCGGAGTTGTGAACTTTTCTACTCACGTTGGAATCAATGCTATAGAGCGTGCGACCGCCTATGATGAGAGGTCCCGAAACGACTGATGCTGGGTATAGCCGTATAGCTTACATGCGTATCAATACAGTGTTTTCACCTAAGCTACTGTAGTCCATCTGGAAAGTGCCTCAGTCGTTTGTTCTGAAACTACTGTAGTCCAGTTGGAAACTGCCTCAGTCTATTCTGGCTGTAAAGCTGCCTTCGCCGCTCGCGTCTTTCTGCTTCGGCGAGCTGCTGGCAGTGCCTCCGTTCAGGCTCGCAGGGTGATTCAAGGCTACCTCAACAACGCGTCCTTCATTCACTTTGACAAAGATGATGCCGGTGAGTTTGCAGTGGCCTGGTGAATTCGGTTTTGGACGGGCGTGGGAAAGCCTCAAAGTCGGGAGCTAAATCGTCCTCCCAAATGCCATCCTACTCATATAGGTTTATATGATATATGTGTTTATAGTGGACCCCACAACCAAAGGGGTTTTGCAAATTTCCTCTTCCAGGGGGAATTTGGGGGGTTGCCCTATTCTAATACAAACCCATATATAATGAGATTGAATGTGTGTTGCCGGGCTCCAGCAGGTGGCCGGGACACGAAGGGAATTGACTCGTTTGGTCGCCCGGTCGATGGTCAATTGGTTCAATTCACCTGACCAACAGAGGTTGAGGGATCCTAGTTAGTTCGACTCTCCCAGTTGGGTACCCCAGGGTTTTCCGAACGTTCAGGTCACAGAGACCTCTCTGCCCGGGATCCACTTCATCTTCCGATCGCGTCACAGCGTCCAGGTCATTTCAGTGTGAGACCGGCCACGTCGCACCGACCTGCGGTGATTCGGGTGCACCGACCTGATCTCGCCAATACCTGGTATGGTGGAATCTGTCCACAGACAGGACCCACTTGGTTAATATTGAGAGGGATCCTTCTTCGTGTAAAACACATGGGAGACTAGGAAAGAGTGAGAGTTGAAGATGTTGAAGGTGCATGAAGGTGCGTAGATGACCTAGGAATGCGAAGACAGTTGGAATTTCACGAGGCAAGAAGGACCCCCTGACTGTCCGCCGTTGTTCCCGCATCCGCGGCAGAAGTATGGTCAAAGGCCGGCAGCAAGTGGCTCATCGTTATATATAAGATATATCGATGTCTCCTGTTATGATTATGGATTGAACACGGTGAACATGGCACATGGATTACAGGCTGCTCTATCAGCGAATGAACAAATCACATGATGGCACTCTCCAATGGTGTAAGCCTGGATCCAGATTGAGCAGTCCTTGTAGGATCCTGACTTGGAAACCATGCCTGGCCGTACTTCGAGGATTCTATAATGGTGCTGAATCATGCAAAATCCGTAAATGGCCGTTGTCGGCC